AAGCAACACGAATAGACTCATATGATATAATATTTAAAATGATGACTAATACTTAGGTGCAAATAGGGACAATCAATGCAAATTATAATTACTCTGTAATTCATTCATCGAATCACAAAAAAATTTCCTAACATGCCAAACACACTATGAGTTATGCTTGGATGGCTTTCGACCATTACCAATTCACTTGTCGCACACAAATTATGATGATGCAAATGATGTCCTGCACAAATTTTCCTGATGACACATATTAGTAAGACATAATGTAGTAGTTAAAATTGTTGTTCGTTCCACTATCTCTATAATTTCCTCTTTATTTGATCGGTCCATCTGACTATTTTATGCATGTCAGGATATATTAAAAAGCTATGCTATAATGAACAACAACATAATTAAAGTATGAAAATTGGTGCAAAACGTTCATTTTGAAATGTCACATGAACACATCACAAGATATTGTTCGGCATAAAAATTTAAATTCTTACACCAATCATAAACATAAATAAAAAAATACAAACTATCTTTGTTGATTGTTTAAAAATATCAGAGGTAAGGAATTCTCCGTTTTAACACTATCGTCATGAAAGCCTCCCGTTTTATTCAATCATCTAAAAGTTTTATAACGAATAAATATAGAGTCATATCATCAAATATCTCAGGATTGGAGTCCAGCAGCTTCACGACATCTAAATAGTCTTGCGAGCATTATATGTCATACAGGTGTTGATTAACGATCTTTGAAATCTGCTCAAATAACTGTTGGGTGTCGATCTTCATTTTTTAATGCTTTTGTGTGGAGGGTGCAGAGCGTTTGGAATGACTTGATTCAATTTATTCTCTTTCTTGTGGTGCTTCTTCTTAGACTTCATTTGATTGAACATATTCGGGCTCATCCAAATTCTAGGGGAAGTCTCGTGTTGTTGTCCCTGTGTTGTTGCCCAGAAATTGGAGCCCTTAGCTACAACACAAAAAAATATAAAATCAAGTTTCCCCTTCCACTCATAGTCTATAGTCTATGCTAGAAATCCTAAATTTTTTGGCATTGGGTAGGATTTAAAATTGATAAAATTGTAGTTCAATTAATATGAAAATATAAAGAATCCATATTATTTTATTACACTTACTAAAATTTTTTGTTTCCACCAATCTAATGCATCCACTATTTTTTTTATTGTTTCTCAACCTAATCTAGTTGCCCATCTCCTTAACTCCTTCCAATATTTTCAAACTTTATTCATTTGATCCCATTTGGAAAAGATGAGGGGCACAAAGATCATTTCCCTTTCAGACCGCGGTTCCTTTCACAGAACCTAGCTCCGCACCTCTGTTCGCTGTTTCCCCATCTTAATAACGGGATTTCACGAAAAGCACCCAAAAATCTAGCTCCCAAACTTACCTTTTTTTGCTTTTCAAAACGAAAAGTACCTAAAAGTCCTACCAAGCGCACCCTTAGGGTCCGTTTGGGGTAGTTTATTTGGTGTCGTGGCGTTTTGAAAAAGCTTATTTGGTGCGGTGAGATCTTGAAAACGCACCAGCTGCATTTTGGCAGCTCATGCATTTTTAAAACGCTGAAAACAACATTTTCACACCGCACCTAGATAGGTGCGGTGGCAACTTCTTGGCAGCCAATTTTCAGACAGCGGTATGACTTTTCCAAAAAAATTAAAATTTGTAATAGTCATTGCACATAATTTTTTAAGCGACAAAACAACACATTAACTTATACATATTTTACAACCACATAAAATGGACAACTATTTAGATTTTTTTTAAAAATAAGAAAATATCCTTTGATTGGCCTTCAAGTATTTCGTTTGGCTTGGCTTCTTGTGATTGAACCTCTTGGATGCATGAAAGCTCTCGTGGAGTGTGCTCTACTAGTAGGCATACCGTCTGTGCTTATGAGCCTTACTTTTGAGTCATCATGACGCGCCACATCATTTCCACCATACCCTAATCAACTCCTCTCCGAAGAGTTAGGGTCAAGGTGGTCTTCTAATAGATTTGGTGCTAAGTGATGAAGTTCATTTAAGGTCTGTCAAATATTATCACTTGGTGGCTTGTTCTTCCACCTAATTAAGAATATCTCAAGTAGTATCTCCATCTGAATGTATCTAAGCATTAACAATGTTCTCCACTTTAAAGAATGTGGATTGAATGGGGGCGTGTAAATGATTTCTATCTCTTCCCGCAATAGCATTATCTTGCAAATTTAGAGATTGCTTCGATGACCAAAGTGGGAACTATCGACGCTCGACTTCGACGAATGATAGATGCACCTTTGATGAATGTTGGAAGGATCTTTGACACAACGAGAGAGGTGACGACTTCGACAATGAGGTATAATTGGGGCTACACATATATTTATAATTTTCTATTTCTTGTGTCTAATTTTTCCTTGAATCGTGTCAAGCCTGTGTTGGACGCCTCGTCGAGGCGTATCCCAAACGTTTCCAGATCTGAGAAAATTTAGACAGATTTTGTAATGTCAGACGTGTCGAGACGTGTCAGAGCCGTGCCCATATCTGACATGGGTATGATGCTTTTTTGTAAGTGTCAGTGTTACATAGGGAGAAAATCATAATAGTTGAATGGTACATTAGATCATGATATAATAATGTTAATAAAATCTGAAGAAGTTATTAATTACCATTTTTATTGGTATATTTTTCAACATTTTTTAGTATTGTAGATAGACTGTTGGTTACAGGGATATGATGAGTGGCATGTATGGCTGAGGCCCAATGGATTATTTGGCATTAGACACAATATGACTGGATTAAAGGCAAAGGTGCATTAAAGCTGAAAGATTGCAATGTTATAGGGGTATATAAGCAAAGGTGCAAGGAGGCTGCACTGTTGGGGCTGGAGGCACTAAAAGACTCTGAATGCTGGTGCATGGGGCAGATGATAAGAGTAACTCAAGAAAAATGTTGAGTGCCAGGGAGGTTAAGGGGTATGGATGGTTGTGGTTTAACCTTACTATAATGCTTTGTAGAGTCAATTGAAAATTACATGTATTCTTAATACGACATGTGCCTGTATATTGGCAAATAAGAGAAGTGCCAAAATGGTTCCCTAACTATTTAAAGGAGACCATTTTAGTCCCCGACATTTAAAAGTGCTAAATTAGTCCCAAACTATTGAAAAAAAAGATTGAATTAAAAAAAAAAATGAAATTCAGGTTCAAGGTTGAAAAAGTCCCCCTGAAAAAAAAAATAAAATTGAGGTTTAGTGTGTTAAAAATAGGGGGTATTTTCGGAATTATGTTTTTTAGGTCATGGACCAAAATCCAAAACCATAATTGTTAGATATGTATTAAATAATTATTATTACTTAAACGTAACTAACGCAATGAGATTTGTTTTATTATGATTATTTAGAAAGTACCAAATACTTAAGAACATTAATGATTTGTACTAGTCTTTTTCAAAGAACAATAATATAATTTTATTAATAATTTTTACAATTGTAGTAACTTTTGAGTGACATTATTCTAGTACTGAAGCTAAAGATGTTTTTTCTTCATATTATTACTAACTAGTCACTTAAAATTATGCATAAACAATTTGCTTGCCCGAATGAATACAAAATGAGCTGTCCCTTAAGGTGTTATATAATATCATACAAATAGGATATTTTAAATAATAATGATTTCAAGTTTAAAAAATGTGTTTTTAAGAAGTTTCAATAAATTTGAAGAGACCCATACTTTCTAGTTGCAACTATAAAAATGAGAAAAGTTTTTTAAAAAATTTAATATATTAAAAAAATATTATAACTTCAATCAACCACCACAACTTAACGAACCATTAAGACATCTATGTGATTTTTCATTTAAAGAATAATAAATAAATTATATACGTGCTGGTTATTTTTAAATACATATCTAACACTTATATTTTTTGATTTTGGCTTATGATCTACTAAAAATATAATTCCACTCCTATTTTGAACTCTCTGAACAACTTTTTAAGATTTTTTTTAACGGTGGGACTATTTCAACTTGTTTTTCACTAGTTTCGGACTGATTTGTGAATTTTTAGAAGTTAGGGACTAAAATCGCCCCCTTAAATAGTTGGGGGACCATTTTTACACTTTCTCATTGGCAAATGCAAGAGTTTAATTAAAAATGAAATAATGATTTTTACACTTTCTCATTGGCAAATGCAAGAGTTTAATTAAAAATGAAATAATGAAAAAATATTCTCTATTTTGACGAATGCAAGAGTTTAATTAAAAATGAAATAAAGAAAAAGTATTCTCTATTTTGACGATACGATGTAACATATAATAAAGTATGCAATATTGAATTGTCAATTAGTTCAAATATGATAAATATCTTTGGTCATAATTTTCTTTATTATTATTTCCTATTTGATGAAAATGTCCTTATGAATAATGGGATGCTGTATAGTGTAAACATCTTGGATGATTTATACAACTATTGCAAGTAAGCTTTGCCTCTTATTTTCTGGTTTTCTTTCTTCCCTTCTCTTTGGTTTCTATTTTAACCAAAATCTCTGACTCTCTTCTGCTTCCTATATTCTCTCTCTCTCTCTCTCTCTCTCTATGAACTCATCACTATGAGGAATTCTAGTAACAAATTTTGTTACTTTTGATTCCCATAATCTTCCTAACAAAATAATGACAAATTGATGAAAAATGTTAATAAACATAATGACATGACTAAAATAATGACGAAAATTTTAAAAATGAATATGAAGTCTCAAGTTTATAAAATGGCCTTGATAACCATATATAATTGTCGAATTAACTTAAGCCTAATGACATAAACATACCAAAAAATAGGAAATGGATGAGCTTATCTTCAAGGATGCTTGGATCACATTACCTTGCTTCATTTGCATCATCTCTAGCTCTTTTATTGCACAGAGCTTAAATATTTATGAATAATGCTTTTTATGCAACTTAACTGTAATAGTAAGGAGCACAAACTCATTAATTCAGTCAATGAAATTCTTCTTATGATTTTGAAGGTGAATGATGATGAAGTTGAAGCTATCATTCCTTCAGCTGCATATGCGCTTGCCAAAATCCATATGCATCTTGTTGTTAGTGGGTAAAGATCACTGTTGAGGTCCAGTGTACTGCTTGAATTATTTGAATTTTCCATTTAAGCAAGCAGACAGCTAAAAAAATTTCATAGTTTAAGTTTCTAGCATGAGAGCTCTTTTTTACTTTATCCCTAATGTTGCGTTCTACTAAGTCACGCTGTGAATTTCCTCCACTTGCAGGTTTTGCTATACTGCGAGAGGAGGGTTTTTCTATTCTGAGGAGGACATAATTGAATTGCACACAGGTATAATCCTTAAAACTATCATATAAAAGTGTAAAAATTTAATTTATATTTGGCACAACATATATTTTATGCTAGTTCATGATTTAGGGATTCGTCTTCTATGCTTGACTTTTTTAATTATTTTGTGGTTCAGTATTTAATTACTTGTTGGTCCTCTAATGAATGTACTTTTTGATGATGCTATGTTAAGGAAGCCTTCTTAGTGTGGCTGCTGATGGTATTATAATTTCTATTTTGACAAGCATGTCATAATCATGCAGTGGTGCAACCGAAATATATGTATGGTTACATGATGTGATACTAATTCATTCTAAATTTTTATGCCATCCATTGCTATCAGTTGTCGGCGCTAAAAGGGGGTAAAGTTATTAAAGTTTGGGGAGGGAGTTGCCCGTAAGGAGCTCATTCTAAATTTTTATGCCATCCATTGCTATCAGTGCTACCGATTATTCCTACTTTTTATAACGAATTACAATTTCTAATCTCACCACACCTCACTCACGTATGCCCACATCACATGCTTGTTCTTCCTGCCGCACCTATACCACCCATCTGACCCATATTCTTGGGCTATCCATGCTTGATTTTTTTATTCTATGCTAACTGCTTGGTTGCACATGCTTTCATAGCTATTAACCTACATACATCATTTACTCACCTTTTCCACCCTTTAATTCTATGATTGTCCAGTGTGCTACCCTGCTTTCTTCTTTCTCTCTATGGTATTCACTTGTCTTGTTTTACTATTTGTTCTTCAATTAAACTAAATGTATCAATTATCTCATGTGGTCTCTTGCATTTTATTCCTTTGTGGGATTATTCATTAAATTGAGCAAGTTAAAGCATAAAACTTGAATGAATTTTTTTTACTCAAATGGAGATTAAAAATAAGAACGATTTTGCCAAGAGAAACAAGATGAATATCCTTGGAACTAAGAATGGCACTCGTAATAAGCTGCTGCTAAATATGCTTGAGTTCTAAAGAGAAGATATTTTAGTTTTTGCAAACCATTTATGTAAGCTTAGGTTAGCCAAATTCTATCCTCCTTACCCATCCCAAAATCAATTCAAAATTTGTTTTCTTTAAATCAATTTTTGAAAATTTAAAGTAAATATCAAATTAGCCATATGAAAATTTTGTATATGACAAGTTTGAATGCCTGTAATAATTTAATAAATAATATATACCTGTTTTAATTAATTTTATAAGCTTAGTTAAATCAAGTTTACTGGTTGCGATGCATTAAATTATAGTGACAAGTTTGACAATGTAAGATAAATATTCCATTATTTTGATTTATTGTGAATAATCAAAGATAAAAATAATAGATAATATGAATGTTATGATATATGTAATGATGAAAATCCTTACAAGTAGTTCATCATTCGAACTTAAGCAATGTACTTAAAAAATTAATCCTATAAAATTTATGATAGAAAATAATTCAATTTAGTCTATTAAATTTGCACACACAGTTTCATTTTGAAATTTTAAAAGCAAACTAATTTTTAATTAAATCAACGTGCATAAAATAAAATTAATTTATGTACGAGTATTTTCATTTTCAAATCATATGTATATTAGACTCTTTATGGGTTTATAAGAATGACCAAACCTAATTTGCAATGCTAAGCTCGATTGCATTTGACATAATCTAACTGAATAGAGTGTGTATTTGAAATACTTAAATAAAACGTTACTAGATCTAATGATATGTTTGTTTTCCATCTTAGTGATATGTTTTTTACATTTGACCTATAGGTTAGTCTTTTGTTTTTATGGGGGAAGATTCCTCCTACCCTCTCCCCTATAGGCCATGTAGAAAAAAGTTTTGGAGAGGAATAATTCTCTTGATCTCTCATAATAGGGAAAACAATCCCTCATAATTTACAAACCTTTTAAATATATCTAACCTAAATTAGTAATCAAAGTAATTTTGAAATAAAAATAAAATAACATTAAATTGTAAGGGAATAAACTAATTAATAGTTTCCTAAGTTGTCCCAATCAAACCTTCTAGGATCTTCTCAGATTTTCAAACCCCCTCAAGCTGGATTGTAGTTGTTGGTATTCAACTCTGAGATTATTCTTAAAAGAAGAGCTTTGGTGAAGACATCAACAACGTGTTGGTGTGTCGAAATGTAGCTTAGCTATATAATTCCCTCATTTACATTTTTAGAGATGAACTGTCAATCAATTTCAATATGCTCAGTTTTGTCATGATGCATAGTTGCTTGACAATCGCATAGCATTTGTATATGTCTATTTGAGTTATATCCTAGTTCTCTTAACAATTTTTCAGTCTAGATCCCTTCACAGATTTTTATTCGGTTCCCCATAGCACACGCCATCTGCGCACAACAGAGTGCAACAGGCTGCGTTTTTGGGTTACGGGGTGAAATTGGTGACTAGGAGTTGCTCTTTTATGATATTTCAGACATTGTTTCCTTAAGTTTCTATTTTGATGTATGCCACTAATTAGTGCACTTTTTCATTATTGACTTTGTTAGCCTGTCATAATTTCCTTGATTTGGGAAATCCCTTTACAAAATCCATAGCGATTTCTTCTCATTTTCACTCAGGTATTGGCAATGATTGTAGCAATCCGCTGAGTCTCTGATGCTCAGCCTTTGCAATATAACAAACTTGACATTTTGACACAATCAGTAATATCCTTCTTCAAATATGACCACCAAAATATCAATTTGAAATCCTTCTATATTTTAATGCTGTCTGGATGAATTGTGTAACTTGAATGATGAGCTTCATGCATGATTTTCTATTTCAAATCAGAATCAGCAAGTACTCATAACTGTAATTTGTTTTAGATTACACCATTTTCAATAACAGTCATATCCGACCTCTTTTCTGATTGAAGATATTTTAAGAGTTTTAGATATTCACTATTAACTTTTTTGGTTCATTGATTCTATTTATTAAAGTTGGTTTTGCTCTCAATTGATGTAAATATCTTATATCACTTGGTCTTAAACTTCAATTTCTTTCATTAATTTCAGCTTTCCATTTATAATTCAACTTGCACTTCGTGTGGATTTATGGTTCAAAGCGTCAACAATTACATTTGCTCTACCAAAAAAATACTGTACGTTCAGATTTTAGTCTTTAATCAGCTCTAACCATCTCCTTTGTGTCAAATTCATCTCTTTTTGCATGAAAATGTACTTTAAATTCCGACTTTGCACTTCACACAATACAAGTAATGTCTCTAAATTTTTAGAGCAAATATTACAACAACTAAATCTAGATCATGCGTTGGATAATTCATTTCATGTAACTGCACTGTATGGATGCATAGACTATCACCTTTTTCTTTTTCATTAGAACACATTCTAAGTCTTGTAATGATGCGTCACTATAAATCTAGAACCCTTATGTAGCTGATGGAATAGATCAATGGCCAAATGTTTCTTTAATTCTTGAAAACAATGCTCACATTCTACAGTCCACTCAAATTGGATATCTTTTTTCATCAACTGGGACAACTGCATAGTTATTTGTGAAAATCGTTTAACAAACCTCCTGCAATATCCCACCAAACCAAGAAAACTACGTATCTTCGTAACATTCTTTGGAGTAGGCTATTCGAGAATTGCTTTCACCGTATGTTGATCTGCTGAGATTTCTTGACCATAGATAATATGCCCAAGAATGTAATACTTCACGGTCAAAATTCATATTTCGATAACTTTGCATATAGCTGATTCTGTTTTAGCAGCTCCAATACTATTCTCAAATGCTAACATGATCATCATCTGTTCTTAAATATATCAGAATATCATTAATAAAAATAATGACAAACTAATCCACGTAAGATTTGTAGATTCGATTCATCAGGTCCATGAATATAGCAGGAGCATTGATTAAGCCAAAAGAAGAATTCATAATGACTATACATGGTCCCAAAAGCCGTCTTAGTTATATCTGCCGTTTTGACTTTTGACCTGATGATATCTTGATGTCAGATCAATTTGGGAAAATATAGTAGCAACTTCCAATTGATCAAACAAATCATCTATCTTGGGCAATGGATATATTTTTTTATTGTCATTTTGTCTAGTACTCTATTATCATGCATAATTGCAAAGATCCATTATATCTTAATAAACAATACTGGAGCACTCCAAGGTGAATTGCTTGGCCTGATAAAACCGTTATCAGTTTTTGCTGTTGATATTTCAATTCATGAAATTCTTTCAGTGCCGTCCTTAAGAAGATTTGAAAATTGCAGATGTCTCTGACTGCACATCAATTCTAAATTCTACTTATCGCTCTTGTGATAGCCCTAACAATTCTTTTGGAAATACATCAGAAAATTCTACAACCGCTGAGATGCTTTTAAATTCACTCACATTTTTATTCAACACTTTAATTTGGCTAGAAACAAGAATTCACTACTTCACAATTACTTTATAACTTTTACTGCACAAAATCAAAGAAGATTATGCATTCCTATCACGAAAAAAATAAAATGACTTCTTGTCAGACAAAGTAAATTTCACTCGCTTATTCCACCATTTAATCATAGCAAAATTCCTTACTAACCAATCTATTCCAAATATGACATCGAATGTCTGAATTGATATTTTAATCAACTTTGCCGACAACTCATTATGAATCTTAATATGCATCACACTTTCTATTCTTTAAAAATTAGTTCTCGAAGAATTGAAAACACATAAGGCATGAGTAAAGTGCATAATATCAATTGATAAATTGACAATAAACTCATCATAAATTAAAGAATGTGATGTACCTGAATCAAATAAAATAATGCTAGACTGAACTTGAATGAAAGCGCACATGTAAACACTTTTTAAGATTCTTTAGCTTCCCTAGAGATAATTGCAAAAACTTCACCTTTACTTGTTGCTGATTTAGGCGTTGAACTTTCACCCTTTTCTTGCATTAAATGTTTCCCCAAAAATTAATTTTTGCTTTACTGACTGCCTTAAAAAACTTCTCGGGCTGTCCCCATATT